CAGCTGATGATGATGTCTCATGGCAGTTGTATCTGACAGTGACAAGGTGATGTGCATCATTGTACCACTCTGCATCTTGGGATTGGCAGTTTGACTAGTTTTGCAAAAGGAATTACAAAAGTACACTCACTTTCTTCTTTTTTTTTGTGGTTCAAGAGCCAGCCTTGCTGCTTGCAGCCTGCTGCATTGTGTGACACTTAGCCCAGAGGTCGTTGATCTTCTCTTCTATCTCCAACTGCAGGGGCTTGATCCGCGGCTCTCTCATCCCGAATAGGATCACGGTGTCGAAGGTCTCTGTGCGAAGAACAGCATCAAACGTGTAGAGGGACTCGTAGTAGAGAGTCCCACCTCCATTGGTGGAGAGGATGAGGACAGGCCGGGTGGGCCGCAGCCGAATGGCGGTCTCTCGCCCCGACCCATCGCATTTGATGACCGCCGGGTAGTGCTCTGGGCTGAAAACCCACTTCCCCTCTTTGTTTTTTTTTATTTTTCAGACGTCAACAACATAACAGGAGAATGTCATCCAGCTGGGCGAGCTTCAATAATAATAATAAGTTTGGTTATGTTACCTTGAGTTTGCAGCACGTAGGTATCCGCTTCAGTTTCTGTCAGCGTGGCACCGGCAGGGGCCTTACTGACCTCAGTCTTGCTCTGGCCTCGCAGAAGCTTCTTCATGCTGAGTGACTAAGAAGTTCAGATGTACTGAAGAAGCACAAGAATCGTACCTCCGAGAGACACTTTCCTATTGGACCACCTAAGGAATTTGTTATGGAGACTTCGTAAGAGACTTCGTTTCTTCACATCGTCCTCTGCTCCTCGGTTCCCGCGAATCACACGCTCAGTGGACGACCGCTTCGCTCTCGCACGCTCGCTACCTGCCGGCGTCTGCCTCGGGTGGCGACCTGGCACTCTTTGCCGGAGGCTATGCCAACGGCGCGTTGTTGTCTGTGGTCGACGCATACAATGCCATGTCGCACACCTGGTCCACTGGTTCGCTTTCACAGGCGCGTGATAACCTGGTTGCCGCTTCAGCCCAAGGTCAAGGTCGGGTCTTTTTCGCTGGTGGATGGACTGGTTCGGTTTACTCTGCCGTGGTGGACATTTATGGCACAGCGTCGGGCGATTGGACTCTCGCGTCTCTTTCGCAGCCACTCGCTGCATTGGTGGCTGCCGCGGTGGACGATCTCGTCCTCTTTGGTGATGGTGCGTGAGCGCAGTGTTGCGTGCCAGCCAGCTGCTCGGGAGAGGTGAATCAAGTGGTACCTTGGCCCCTCCAGTTTCTTCGCACGATTGCGTGGCCTCGACGTAGGCCGCGGACACCTTCGGGTCGAGCAACCGGTCGACAGCCGGGCAGCCGAGATTCATGCCCGCGCCGAGTTCCTACGCAGAGCAAAAGAAAAAGGTGCGTGAGTCACGAGGGCATAGGGCCCGAGGTGCGCGCGTACCTCTATACGGCGCATGTTCATCTGCTGTTCGATGGTCTTCGGGAGGAGCACCATGGGAACCTGAAGACGCACGGCATTGAAATTGGTGGAATCCAAGGAATGTTAAGGGAGAGGGGAGGGGCAGCGCACGTTGGACACCATGGCCTCGCTGATGCCGCCCATGCCGCCGTGTGAGATGAACACGCTGGCCCTGTCTAGAATCTGCGGCTGCGGCACGTACTCCTTCACAATGAAGTTGTCTGGCCTCCCACATTCTCTGCGCGGTCTGGTGAGTGAGTGTGACAGAGTGACGCGTGTGCGATGTGTGTGTGTGGTGCACGTACCAAGGTTGCCCTTGCCCACAGACATGACAAACAGGTGCGGGCTGTTCTTGAATGCGGCGAAGCACGTCTGCTTTGATGACCACACATCAGTTCAGGGAAGTGATCAAGCCAAGTGTGAAAGCGAAAGCGAGAGGAAAAGAGCGAAAGCGACGAACCCGGAAGAAGAGAGGGTTCGTCCAGTAGAGCGTGCCCATGCCGGTCGTGGCCGCGTTCAACCTCACCGTTGCCTCGGTCGCCCTCAGCCAGTCGGGTACCCCGGTGCGCGTGCCGGTTCCTGGCGTCCTCTCGGTTTAACGATTTCGTTTTTTGTGTGCTTAGGGCAAACAGCGCAGCGGGTCGATCTGGGCTTGGTGAGTCTCGAAGAGATCTCGACAGGCGCACGTGCTCCAGTCCATCGACCTCGCCAATGGTACGCGCGCTCGCACATGGCCCGCGATCGAATGTCACTGACGTCGACGACGACCAACCTGCAGCGGGATGGGAAGTGGGGTCGGACAACGGGTCGATGGTCGGCGCCGCCACGACATACACCTTCGTCTGCCATCTCGGGGCGACAACCAACAACGCCAACAACGCAACTCTTGGGTATTCGTTTGCTACCTTTGGCTCGTCACCACCGGTACAGGTTCGCGCACGGCATGCTCTACTTTTTGTCGTTTGAGACTGGTGGCGCCTGCTGACCGCGATGTGTCGCACAGAGACCAACTATTCGTTTGCCGCGCGTTTGTGTTGGCTCACCAAAGGCGTGCATCCTAGTTTGAGCAGGTTGCGTATCGATCCGCCGTTTGCGCGCCGATCGCTGGGACGACGCGCCGCAGGTCGGCATGACCACGTTCCTCTTGGGCAGCGCCAACGCCGCGAGGGCGGACTGCTCGGTATGCGCACGCGCCCGATAGACTTTGGGCTGTTGCTGGTTGACAGGGATGGCGGTGGTGGAGGCGGCGACAACCTGGACCTCATCATCGGCGTAGCCGTTGCGGTGCCCGTGGCCGCTGTGTTTGCCGTGACGATCGTCTCTGCGACGGTGTGCGTGATCGCGATCAAGCGCAGGATGCAAATCTAGCAAACGATGTTGGGTCCAGGTCGTGGGGATCGACTTCGACGACCAAGGCCAGAACGCAGTGGGTAACAACCACTTTTGTATTGTTTCATAGGGTTGTATAAAACAAGTCCTGCTCAGGCCTCTTTACAACTCAGGATCATCCAGATCCTTGGTGTCCTTGAAATTGATTGCGTTAGCATGGCCATTACCGCCCTGTTTGCGCCTGTAGAGTCCGTACAGCAGGGCAGCCGCCACAACGGCCAGCACCACAACGATGGCCAGCGGGATGGCCACCGCCACGCCAACAATGACCGCTGTGTTGTCACTGCCGCTGCCACCTCCTTCTCCCTTGCTTGAGCCCAGGAGGACGCCCAGGCCAATGCTCGGGTCGTACTCGAGCGACCGCGTGAATGGAGGGAACGAGAGTACGAGGTCGTAGTACCCTGCGCTCGGGCTGCCTCCAACGTTGGAGGCCGCCACCACCGAGTGGTTGATGGCGAGGAGGGTGCCGTCGACGAGGGCCACATCGAAGACCTGCACCTCGATGGCAACGTCGGTGTAGCCAGCCGGCACCCAGTAGGTGGTCATGTTGGCACGCGGCTGGTTTCTGAAGAGCTTCACGGTCTCGCGGGCCGACACCAGTGTGGAGTTGGTCGAGAGGCGGAAGGAGAACTGGAGGCCCGACGACAACGACGACGAGTTGTTGCTCTCCGCCGCCGTGCTGGTGAGGTTGATGGACCACTTGACCGCGCCCGCGCTGATGGTGAAGTTGAGCCCGCTGAACTGCGACTCCTGGGCCTGCGGATGGAAGGCGTAGGTCTGTGTCACACTGGTCGTGTTGTCTGGCAGGACGGCCGAGTACAGCACCATGCCGCTGCTGTTACCTCCGGAACTCGCGTTGTTGCTCACGACGGACCACTGAATATCTGTGGTGGTGCGTGCGTGCGTGCGTGCGTGTTGTGTTGCGTTGCGTTGCGTTGCGTTGCGTTGTGGTTGTGGTTGTGGTTGTGCACAACTTCGGTCCTTAGGACAACTTCTTCCAAATGAGATATGTGTGCGAGCGGTTTTGCGAGCGTACGAGTGATGTTGTTATTGCCGGCCTGCAGCCCGGTCAGCTCCGATCGCACACGAACATCGCTCTCTGCGTAATGTGAGTAGTGAGGGGCGCAGGAGTGAGTATTTGTCTCTAAGGTCAATGGCATGTCAATGTTAGTGTCGTGATTCTGGGTGAGCGGGAGTAGGTACTGGAAGTGGAACCGCCAGAGCCCGAGGCCACGGGCGCGGCGACGTCGACAATGGGCGAGTCGGATCCAAATGTCGCCGTCACGTTGGCTGAGATGGGAGCGAGTGTCACGGCTGGGGTAGGACTGAGCGAGGCCGAGGGGGAGGGGATCAAGGAAGGAGCCGGCGACAGAGCCGGCAGCGGCGACAAAGCCGGCAGCGGCGACAGAGCCGGCAGCGGCGACGGCGACGAAGCCCGAGGCGAGGGAGTCGGAGACGGGGTCGTCGCAACGCCAAAGCCACACATGTGATTCTCGCCGGCCGTGAGGCCCTTCCACGTGTAGGAGGAGGGGACGCCGATTTGTCCGTAGGTGTTGTCGCCCCAGCAGTAAAGAGCGCCCGTGGACTTGAGTCCGCAGGCGTGGTGGCCACCGACGACGAGGTCCGTGAAGGTCTGGTCCGTGGGCGCGCTCGATTGTCCGTTGGCGTTGTCGCCCCAGCAGAGGGCCACGCCGTTGGTCCTCAGGCCACACGAGAACGACTTGCCCGTGCCCACGCGCTGGAAGCTGTAGACTGAAGATCCTGCTGCTGCCTGCGGGACGGCGGTCTGGTTGTTGGAGTTGTCGCCCCAGCAGAGGATGGACCCGTTCCGCAGGAGGCCGCACGTGTGATACTCCGAGGTCGCCACCTGCTCAAACGGCACCGTCGTCGCGGGCACCGCCGACTGCGAGCGGTTCTTGTCTCCGGAGGCGCCCCAGCAGAGGAGGGTTCCGTTGTGGGCGAGGATTCCGCACGAGTGCCAATACCCGCACTGCACGCTCTTGAAGTACGCGTCCGCGGGCACCTGCAGCTGCTGGTGGTTGTCGAGGCCCCAGCAGGTGGTCAGGTTGGTGGTGGCGCTGATGGCGCAGGAGTGGTCCCACCCGGCGCTCACGTTGGTGTACTGAATGTTTGGCGTGACCGTGCCTTGGCCCCACGTATTCACGCCCCAGCACCGGACCAGACCATCGGCGCCCAGACCGCAGGTTTCCTTGACGGAGGCGCTCAGATAGACGAAGGTCGAGTTGATTTGAGGCACCGTGGCCTTGCCGCCCGCGTTGTCTCCCCAGCACAAGGCCACTCCGCTGGGGACAGTGCTGCTGCTGCTGCCACCGGTGCTCCGGACGTAGAAGGCGACGACGACCCAGAGGCACAGCACCGCCATCGTCGGCTGGCCCTTCGCCATCATGATCTTCGCAAAACAAGAAACGAGAGAGAAAGGTAGTGCGGTCGTTTTGTGAGCGTGAGCTCCGCGTTCGGGGAAGATCTGGTGGGCCTTTGGCGACGAAGCTTCATCCAGTCGTGTAGTGCTAATTCCGAAGTGAGAATAAGTCCCAGATGATCATGTTCCACGTGTTTTTGGGGGTACTACTTTGCGGATAATAATTTTTTTGATATATTGGAGGCCGCGCTGCAGAGACGTTCAGTGACGACGCGCGTCCTTCTTGGCCAGGTCATGGAAGTAGTCGCCCAGCTCACGCAGTTCTTCCTGCCAGATGTCCGTTGGCTGCCTCCGGTGCAGGATCTCCACCTCCACCCTACAGTGAGAGATGAATCGGAGTGAGCGAGGGTGCCCGTTTGCCGTTGCCAACATGAGCGCTGGAAGGAAGGGAAGAGATCTGAGGAGAGAACCGTTTTTTGTTGTGCTTCTCTTTCATCTGCTCTATGCGCTCCTGCGTGAGGTTCCAGAGCGGAGCGCGAAGGAGGTAGTCAAACCCGGTAGAAGACGAGGGCTCTTCACCGACACTCTCACCCGAATTGAGAGGAGTGAAGTTCAGCTCCCGCAGCTTGCCCAGCAAGGCTTCCTTCTTTTGGTTGATCACTTTGTTTGTTTGAAGGGCGCAGGGTTAGGGCAACACTCTAGGACGAAGGCGCGCTGGTGGTGACCGAACCTGTCAACTTGCCCTCGGTGACGAGCTCGTAGAATCTGGCTTGATTGCTTATCATCAGCAGCTCGTTGCTCATCGTCTTCAGCTGCCACTCTTTCCTCTTGGCATAGTGTTCCATCCTTATCAAGTGTGTTGTTGGCGATGGAGCGCGTCAGTTGGTTAGTTATGAGGGGTGAAGGAGAAGCGCGGACGAGGAGGGCCTTTACCTCAGAGGGAAGAACTCATCAATAATTTCGAGCGGGCACTCGAAACGACGGATCTTGCCGTCCTTGTCAAAGAGGTGCATGTTGTTGAGGCTGATCTGGCTGTACAACTTGAAATGCTCCACCAACCCCACGCTCTCCGCCAGCTCCATTTGCTCCCTGCAGAGAGGAGAGAGAGAGAGAGAAAGAGAGAGAGAGAGAGAGCACGCCAGCGAGTGTTGGTCAATAAACCACACCACGCGAACGGCCAGAAAGAGAAAGAGAATGAAGCAGGACTAGGTACTTGGTCATGTAGACGTGGAAATCGACACTGTTCTCCGTGTGGTGTTCCTTAAAGCCCTTGATGAGAGCCCTCCTTCCACGCCGCGGAGGTTTGGCCATTTGGTCCAAGAACTCTTTGTATGTTGCAGTCCACCGCTTTGCTGGCAGATCGCTGATGCGTATCGTCGTGGGGTTGATCTACCACAACACGCACACACGATACATGTGACACAAACACGACACGCATGGTCAGCATCGACCTTGAGAGCCAGATACAGCTGGCGTGCTGTACCTTTTCGACGAGGCCGATGGACACGTAGCTGGGCGAACCCTTCTTTCGCAGAATGGGACCTTGCAGGCCGCGATACCAGGGCGCTATCTTCTCCATCTCTTTGCCTTCGATCTTGCGCCGCAAGTTTTCGATGATCTGCAGAGGATTGTACGACGGGATCTGCGTGCTCCAGCCCGTGCCTTGGTAGACCCGAGAGCGACGACACATGATCTCAGCTGACGCAAGAGACCAAGAGAAGAGAAGAAGGTCTCATGAGGAGAAGGATGTGTACCCAAGCCTTCGCAGCCGTTGAGCAGAATGGTGGGGAGGACTGGGACGAAGTATTGCGGTTGCACCTGTTCCCCGTCTTCATCTAGGTAGTTGAGCAGGTGATCATCCTCTTCCCGGAACAGCAGGCGAGCCGCTGGGTCCAGACGAGTAAATATGTAGCGAGCGCTCGCGGCGTCCTTCCCGCCCTGCAGTCTGCGAGTGGTGTTCGCGCACCGGATGAGAATCCCGCCCGGGCATAACCGTTCGAACGGAGAGTGCGTACCGTGTGCCGAACTGCCCAGCCGGATAGAGGAGGGGGACGTTGTTGGAGCCCGGGAAGTTTTGCGCCATGTGGACGATGGTCGAATGGAGCGACGCTTCACCGTGGTGGTAGGCCGTCTGCTCGGACACGTAGCCGGCTAGCTGCGCCACCTTCATTTCGCTGTGCAGTTTCCGCTTGAAGCACGCATACAAGACCTTCGGATAGTCAAGCGAAGGGGGATCAGTGCGATGTCATCCAGACCAAAACGAGAAACTCATGGTAGAACTGACAGCAACAGACCAAAGTCTTGGTGTGAGTCTGGTCCGTACCTTACGCTGACCAGGCTTGAGGCCATCGATGACTGACGGAATGCTGCGGATGTTATCCGCGTTCGAGAACAGGACTAGCTCCTGCGGGGTGAGATGAATCAATATATATAAGTGCGTGAGCACCCGTTTGTACAGTGCCAGGGTTGGCGTTGAGTGAAGCGGGTGAGTACACACCTTGTTGATGAAATCCGAGTAGGAGATCATTCTGGCTTCCTCGTCCTTCTTGAACAGATCCTCGGAATAGAGCGGCACGTCGTAGTTGTGGTCGGCCACTCGTTGCTTCTGCTCCTCGTAGAAGGCCATCAGCCACTGCTTGCGTTGCTCGACCTGGTCCTTGCTGAAGGCCATGTCGATCTGTCGGCCGTCCTGCTCGCCCTGCCATTCGAAGCCGATGCGGTGCTTGCCCAGAGCCTTGAAGTACTCCTTGCCCTCCTCGGTCGTGTTGGTGCCCAGTCCCTTGTAGTACTTGATCCGCCACTTGCTCTTCTCGGCCGGGTCCAGCTCCTCCTTCCAGCGCTGATACTCGGGGATGGCGAAGAACACCTTCTCTTCTTTCTTGTTGCCGGCGCCCTTCTTGGTGGCCTTCACGATGGGCGTTATGAACTCCTCGACGTAGCCCTTCTCCAGCAGCGATGGCCAAAATCGATGGAGGAAATTGATGAACAGGCCCTTGATGTGCGAACCTGTATATCGTCGTTATTGGGGTGGTGTGTCAAGGAGCGCCGTATTCTAGAAAAAGCAAGTGGTAGTGGGTGGTTGATAGGATGACGCACCATCATGATCCTGATCGGTCATGAGCATGACCTTGCCATATCGAAGCCCGTCGCTGGCCACTTCGCCCGATTGTTCGGCATCGGTTGCCTCTGCATCGCTGTAGGTGCGCTCGTGGTTAAGACCGAGAATGGTTGTTATCTCGTTGATCTGCGCACGCACGCACACAACCACGCAATGTTAGACGGTCGCAGGTGACCACGTCCCGCACGAGCATGTGTGATTACCTCTTTGTTCTCCAGTAGCTGGCGATGAGTAGCATCGCGAACGTTGAGCAGCTTTCCCTTAAGCGGATACACGCCGTAGTGATCCCTGCCCAGAATAGACAGGCCGGCCACCGCCAGCGATTTGGCCGAGTCTCCTTCGGTCAGGATCAGCGTACAGTCCTGCACGGGCCGATCGCCCACACGTGCACTCGCTCATAAGCCACGCTGCGAAAGCAGAAGTGAGGGAGCGGAGAAAAACTGTACCTTGGAGTTGGCGCTGCCGGCCAAGTTGGCATCGTCCAGCTTGGGAATGCCGTAGATGCGAGTGCCACTGCGCCCGGAGGCCGCCTTCCTGGCCAGGTCAGAACTCTGCTTCATGTACATCCAGCGGCTCACCTAGTTGCCCACCCAACAACGACGCGACGCGTGAGCAAACAACAAGCCACGGACCGAGAGACTGCCATGATGCGTTACACAAAAAAGAAGGTCTCGACGTCGTACCGTGTCCACGATGCGCGTCCTCTCCAAGATATTGTCCAGGAGCTGGGTGCTCAGTTGGCAATCCGAACCGAAGTTGCGAGGCCGCGTCGTGAGAGTCTCCTTCGTTTGCGAGTCGAACGACGGGTTCTCGACCAACGCGTTGACAAAAACCGTCAGGTGGTTCTTGACGTGGGCCGGTTGCACTTTGAGGTCAGGGTCGGTCTTGTTGATCTTGTCGACCACATATTTGACAACCTGGTCCGCAATGTAGTTGACGTGGGTGCCACCTCTGTGTTGGGCGAGTGTCGTTTAGTGCCACGCTCTCACGGTAGGAGCTAACAACGTTCCGGATAACATACCTTCGAGTGTTGATACTGTTGACAAAGCTGATGGACGAAAACTGCCCCGAATCGGATATGCCAACGCCCACCTGCCAGCGATCGTTGATCTTGTCGAAGACAAAGGCTAGCGAAGAGAAAAACAGAACGTGAAGTGAGTTGAGGTACTGATCTTAGTTACGCGATGACACGTGTGCATGTACCTTCTTCTACAACCTCCGGGCCGTAGTACAGACTGAGGTAATCTTTGAACGAACCAGGCAATGGACGTTCGTTGAGGTACACCTTTCGAGAAGCGAGCCTTAGTATAAATGTGTGCAACTTTACGGGCTTGGTTGCTGAAACAGAGAGGACGCGGGGGCCTTACCTTCAGCGTTTCGTTGCAGCCGGCTACGTCATAAACACGCATGTTCATCACCGACAAAATGTCGTCATCTTTGAGCGTCTGCATACCGAATCGCGACAGGTCCGGTTTGAAGGTCACCACCGTGTAGTCCTCTGACAATAAGAAAAGAGCCAAGAGCCATTAGAGCAGGGCGCAAGGCACATACGGGCCAGAGAAGACTCGAGGGTACGTACTCGCCTCCTGCTCCTGTTGGGTCAACGGTGAAACGCGGGGGCCATCGGTAGTGCTCATGTTGTCGCGCCATGTTTGCACGAACTTGAATCCGCGCTTGCAGTCAACCGTCTCCACCGTGAACTCCTTCGAGAAGATGTTGGCCAGCTTGGCACCGTACCCTGCCCGCTGCGTCAGCCAGTGCTACTACATGGCGCAAGCTGCATTGGGGGGGGGAGGGAGAAGATTGCACTCACCGTTTCGCCCACCGGTCACTTTGGCCACGGAATCATCAAAGTTGGAACCCGTTAGCAGGTGGCCGAACAGGAGCTCCGGCAGGTAGAGCCCCTCTTGTTTGTGCACGTGCACCGGGATGCCTTGTCCGTCGTTGAGGATGCGAATGCTGCCTTGTTCCGCGTCTATCCACACTTTGATCGTCGTCATATTGGGATCACTAGCAACACACACACACACACACTCACACACCAATGTTAGCGCACGTTGGAGTGAAGCGTGCAAAGAGAGCGTAGCCTACCGTTGCTTGTTGTCGGCTGCGTTGACAAGAATCTCGTCGAATATCTTGTAGAGCGCCGGCACATAGCCACACTCGCGCAGCACGGCCTTCGGGTGGCCGCTCTGGGCCGACAACACCCAGAGCTCCTGCGTGGTGCGCTGGGTGGACCCACGTAGCTGTCGGGCCGGAGAAGGACGTGCTCCACCGGCGTCTTGCGCTGGTAGACCTCCTCCAGGGCCTTCTCACCGGCAGCGGCCGGTGGTTCCTCTCCAGCTGCTTTGCGTGTACGTCCGCGCGCTGCCAGTGTGGTGCTCACATGCAACCACCGCCGGTTCTGGTTAGGCCGCAGCAGGCTGCCGTGGACGTTGCCTCCTCCTCGGCCCTCGACGCGACTCAACACACGCCAGGCCCGCCACTCGCCACCCCATCTACATGCAGATAGAGAGATTATGAAAATCACAAAACAACTCGGCAGATTGGGGGGGGGGGGCAACATTAATGGAGAGCACCTGGAAGCAGGGACAGTAAGGTGCTGGGCAGTGGCAACCGGAGTGCGAAGTGCTGCAGCGGTGGCAGGAGTTCGACCCGCCGACACGGAAGAAGCAGCACCAACGGCACCGCCCCGGCCGCGAAGCACCACTTGTGACATGTCTCGCTTCAAGGGGCTGTTGCCGTCTCTCTCCTTTCTCAGGTGCTGGAGCAGCGATTCCTCGAACAACTGCAAATAAATAAAAGGCTGCTTTTCTCTTGCATTTCATTTATCTTATTTCCTTCCATCGTCGGTGGAAGGAAATGGGCGAGCTGTTGTACGCGGGGGACCTGGTGGGGGCGCTGCCCGGGGAGGTGGGTAGTCTGGTCCTGGGGCTCCTCGACGGCCGCGACCTCTTGGCCTGCGCGCTCGCAGGCAGCTG